CAATGAGTTCAATAGCAAGATGGCTTTATCTTCTTCCTCGATTTTCACTCCGAGATTGGCAAGATGTGTGATTAGTCCGTTAAATACATTTAAATGTGACAAAAAATTCGTACCTTCACTCATGTGTAGGGCGTATAACTGCTTCTTCAGGTACAATTTATTTGTCAGCGTTTTGGACATGTATAGGCTTTCCAACCTTGTCCAAATTCCACGTGCAGTGTCTTCATCAATGATGTTATTTACCACATCATCTGATAAGTGCAACCTGATTGCACTAGCAGCTCTTTCATCCAAGTCAGCCCAATCCTNNTATTTTTCACCACGTATAGTACTACCGACAGTGAATAGTATTTCAGTAAACGAGCAGAACCTGTGCTCTGATACCAGTTGTTGGAAATAAACCCTCTACCAAAATAATATTCACGGTAATAAAAGCGGAATAATAATGTAGCACCGAGATACGGTAATTAACAAGAATAAAAGAGTAACAATGACACCAAGATTTTTACGTGGAAAACCCTTCTGAATAAGGGAAAACCCACGACCCCGAGAGGAGCAACTGATATCACTATAGTAAGGAATTTACACTTTGTAAACCCGAGTAAAAATACTAAAAAGACCACTACAATACTTAAAAGAAATAACTCTCTTTTGATATTTCACCTCACTACAATATCGCTCACACTCTCTATTTTCTTCACAGACTATTTTCTTATACCCTGTCTATGAAACCTCACTCTTTCTTTCTAGCTCTCAGATATATTTTCCTCTGAGATTGTATTTTATAGGCAAAATATGCCTACCAACCTTGACCTTTCAACTACTGCAGTCATTTTTGACAGAAAAATGAAAAACGTGGACTGTCTGCTTCTGCCAACTTTGAAAATAAAGAAGAAAGGAAGAAAACAACTTCTTAAAATGTGGGCTAGACCCCACAAAACAAGGAGAAATTATGAGTGATATGGGTACATTCATATTACATAAAAGACCAAGCTGTATGAGATACAGATCAAAAGAGTGCTTCCTGATCGTGCAGAAGATATTCAAGGCTAAGCATTACTTCGAGGCAGCTGGTTACACAAAGGGATGTTCACCAGATGGAGAGCTTCTCAATTAGGCAAATCTGCAAAGCTATGCAAGGTAACTTCGAGAAGGTGACATGGAGGAAGCTAGTATGCAACAATCAGGGAATGCCTAAATGGATTTTCATCTTGCGACTAGCATTGCATAACAGGCTATCCACAAAAGAAAGGTTAGCCAAATGGGGCATCATTCCAGATCAGATATGTTTCCTATGTGAGAAGGAGAATGAAACATTGCAGCATCTTTTCTTTGAATGTGAAGTATTTGGAAGTATATGGCAACAATTGTTTTACTGGCAAGGAATACAGAGACTGAAGAAACCTTGGCATGAAGAGCTACAATGGATAGAACAATTTGGTAAAGGCAAGAGTTGAGGGGCTGCGTATGCAGAATGACTCTAGTAGCGGCTGTCTACCACGTTTGGCAAAAAAGGAACTATATCATTTTTCAGAAGAAGAAGAGGTCAACCAAAGCCATCCTACGACTGATCATCCAGCAAATTTATGTGAGGGCTAGTTTGTTCCCTAGGCTAGTGAGAACAATGGAATAGTTGAATTGGTATCCAGAACTTGTCTAGGTAGAACGAGAAGAATGAGGTAGAAAGGTAGTGAAAATTAGGTAACTCCAAGCTGGGGCATCATGTCCAGTTGGAGTTATGCTAAGTGAACAAACTGTGATGTGTTGATTTGTACATAATTATACTTCATAAATAAAATTATTTATTTTACCAAAAAAAATAACCAGCTTTTAATTTCATAGTGTTCTATTTTAAATTTCTTATTAATTAACCAGTTCATCTTAATCCTTAATTAGGCAAAATGCTTCTTCCAACTAAACTTAGAACAAAATTTCTCTTCAGAAAAGCTACAAGCTTAATTATCCAAAGTCTATGACCTTACAAGTTACAAGTACCGTATGTATTAGTTACCAAAAAATATTTGGTTAGCTAACTTACCATATTTCTTTATAAGATAGGAAATTTTTGCATATTCCCTACTAATTATCTCAAATTCCAAAACTTTTGTAACAAAAATATAGTCCAATATCAACTGATAATTTTGTTACCTTATACATTAATTTTTTCCAACCATGACTATATTCTTCTTTTGGCACTATAAAAGATCAATTGATTGAGCACAAAGCAGTTCATAACAACTTTCAACGATCATACAGAAAGTGATAATCAATTCCAATAAATAATGAAGAATTTCACTATTTTGTCCCTACTTTCTTTTGTTCTTCTCTTGAGCTTATCAGCTTCTTCTCTTGGTATGAATTTTTTTACTTCTTGATATTCATAGATTTATATTTGATTATTTAATGATTTCGGTTGAAGTGTGTGATCATCTCATTTAAATGCTTAAGCTGTTAGAGAGGGCATACTTCTATTTATTTAATTAGAACTTCAACACACCCCTCCGGGCTTGATTCTTTTAGTTGAGCCAAGCACGCAGAAATTATTTTTGATATTGAGCGGCAGTGAGACTCGAACTCAGGATCTGCTCTAATATCATGTTGAAGTGTGTGACCATCTAATCTAAAAGCTTAATATGTTAGAGAGTGCAAACTTCTAGTTCTATTTACTTAATTATGTCTTCAACAAATTCTCTCGTCGTGATATATACTGGCTAATTTATTCCATATTAATTAATTTGTTCTTATAATTGTAGGGCAACAACCAAAATTATGTCCGACGAGCTTCAAAGTGAACGATCAGTGTGCCAATATCAATTGCTTTTTAGAAGCCTTAAAAATTTATCCAGCCAGTGAGATGCCCCAAAAATGCAGTTGTAGTTCACAAGGGAGTGGCAGCCTATGCTCCTGCTCCATAGTTTGCCAACCTCCAAAATAAATATAATTATGTTAGCAACTTTATGAGCATAATGCTCAATTAATGAAAATAATTTGCATGAACTCTGTGATTCGTGTGAACAGAAACTTTGAGTTTTCAAAATTCGCCAAATTAATAAAATTAAAGAGTAAGGTTTGGAATTTAGATACTTTTTTCAGACCTATTGTCAATTTTTTTTCTTCTTGGATCGAATTAAAATAAAATAAATTTATTCAGCAACTGGAATTTTACTCTCCTGTGCATGTTAATTAAAGAAAGGATTGACCAAAAAAAAAAATTAAAGAAAGGAGGCCATTTAAAAAGAGATGTTCATGGAAAAAGGGACCAACTAATCCATAGCAGTAATATCTATTTTTTTAAGTTATTCATTAATTCACCTTGTTCTAGCATCGGTAAAGTTCATCTTGTTGCAATAGAAATGAACAAAAATAAATAAGTTTATGAATATTCTCTTAACTAATTACTTTTATCCCTTTTTTTAATTTATCATGCCCATAGTCTAAAGATTAATTTGTCATGGCAAGTCCAAATGGTGTTTTAAAAGGTGGGGGCGTGAGCTGAGGCGTTTTACTTGATATAGGATGAGGCGTAAGTCCCATGGATCTTTAACTTTTTATATTTCTAAAATAAAATAATAGTATTATCTATATCTATCTATCTATACTATATTAAAAGCACGAAGCCCCTTAGCGAATGCCGTTCGCCTTTTTTATCCTTTAAAAATAGATTTTACAATGGACAAAATTGTAATTTTTATTATTTTTCTAATATTTAGAACTTCTAAATCAAATAAAATTTTAGTTATTAAACTTTTCCTTATTTGGACTAGGGAAGAAGTCCTAATATTTAGAATTTTAAATGAGTAATATTATCTTTCCATGTTTAGTATTTGTGGAAGTTGTAAAAATATGTAGGACGACAAAATATAATACCGAGCAAACTTGTATGGTGTACAAAAGGTGCAAATTTTAAACGTAGAGTAATGGCAAAAACTTTAAAAAGTTATCCTTTTTTCCAAATTAACTAAAGTTTGTTTATCTAATCATTACTTTGAACCATGTGAGAATTTTAAATAGGAAGTAAAAATTAATTATTATTTTAAATATATAATATTATTTATTTATTTATTTGGAAAAAATTAGAACAAACTGTAATGTGCTAATTTTATAAAAATAATGTTTAATATACTTAAGAAAGTTATCCCCTTTTCAAAATTACTTAAAGTTTTATCTATTAAATTATTCCTTATTTGAACTATGTAAAAGATCTTAATATAGGATATCATACTTATAGTTATAGCAAGATACATATGTGCGCAAATAATACTTAGGATATGGTATTTCAAGATCAAGAATTATATATGCTTTAAGCAGTTTAAATCCTTTGGAGATTGTCATATAAGTATAGTCAAATAAACCATTTAAAGAGACTTTAGATGCATATCAACTTTTCATATCATGCTAGACATATAAGATAAATAAAAGTGATTGCACACACCATTGACTTTATACTTTCAAGTGTTTGAACTGCAGTCCAAAACAACATGTCTTTCATATGAAACCAATTCTACTTGAATTGTTTCTCTAGACTTAAGATCCTCGTATATATATATAGCGCTATTATAGATGTCGTTGACAAATATTTTATATCGGTTCCAACCTCCTTATTTTTATATAGACATAAAATAGAGATCTCTCCATTCATATGTTCAGGTACCTGAATCTCTCCTAAGATTTTATGAAGTGTTATGTCATGTGATCTTCTAGATCACTTGCCTCCTTTATTATGATCATTTGCTCATCTTCTTTATCAAGAAGTTTATTTGAAACCGATTTGTCTATATGTTTTAAACGTACTATAGACTTTGTCCTTCTAGGACTTAATAGGAGCATTTGCAATGAGAATATAGTTACTTTCTTTGGTCAACAAATGCGTCTGGCATGATTTGCAATATATTGCAAATGAATTATCTTTTTATGAACTTCAAGTTCATATTATTTTATTCGAGGGATCTAGATGTACACATGATAATTCATTCCACGTAATCTTTTCTCAACTATTTATCATATCTCCCCCTCATGTTAGAAAAACTAACTTGCTTCCTCAACTTTGAAAATCTACATTTGTTCGTTATGGTGTTAATCGAAATATACACCATACATTATGAATAATAAGATGGAATTATTTGGTTCCTGACCCTGAACTACTTGTGAGGGGAGAAAATAATATACTTTTATATATAACGTATATCAAACTGATATATATAACTTTGTTCCCATAAGCAATAGTTTAACTATTAAGTGGAGGCACTAAATAAATCATCTTGCTAAACCAATTGTGATGTAAACCAACTTATCAAGATGAACTATCTTGAATAAAAAAAAATCTTGAAATTATGCTCTAAATCAAATTATTGAGCAAGTTACCTCGCAAACACCATGTTGCGGGTTAATAATAATCGCACATGTAACCATCGCATAGATGCATCTTATGTGGTATACATGGCAGGTGAATGGGCCCATATTCACCTTCGATATTTCCAGCATTCGTGGGATTTAATCCCATTTTTAGTTGGTATATTAATTAATGAGAAAATGCAACATAAGAGAATTCATAAAGAACTTTCTAACTCTTTAATATTTACCCATGTGAATTTTCTTTTATTTTTGCACATCATGCTTAAAATTGATATGGCTAAACTGATTATGCCAACTGGATAAATTATCAATATTGATAAAGTTCAAATTCACACAATGACGTGTGCAATTATCAATAAATTCCAAATTTATTATGATATGAGTTTTTATATCAATAACCTTCTACTTTATTGTGGTATTCTTTTGTTTGTGTAGTACAAACTGGAGAATAAAGCGGGTAGTTTTTCACATACATATTACCCTGCTACAAGTTGTAGTAATAGTAGATATTAAATCTTTCCATTATTTATAGTCTCAGTACGACCAACCGCTTTCGTGAATACTTTAGAAACTCAATTAAGTTTCTTTGAGACTTACTACAACACAATGCCTTATTGATAATCAATTTTATTCCTCAAAAATAGTAATAATTGGTTCTTCCAGAGCTCTTAATTAATGTACTACCACATATTCATCAACATCCATATGGTGAATATCTCTTTTAAAGAGAAAGTTATGCCATTATGGTTACGGTAAAAATTATATGCAAGATATGTTTCTTGCATTAATGTTATTCTTTAATAATCACATTACCAAAATATTTTGGCGTGTATTAGGTACGTGACTAATGATCATTCATGCCATAATAATGACATTATTTTCTTATATCATCTCAAACCTCTTTCTAGAGGCGAGTGTGGTATAACTACCACTAGCACGTTCATTTTCTTCCAAGAATGAATATGTACTCATAAATCACATGTTGTCACATTCACATCATGAATGAACCATAATCATCTATATGTGATTTACAAAATCTCATGTCAAACCGATGACAAACATTACTTTCGCAAAGTGAAGGATTATTTTGAGAATCCTTATTGTT